TTAGAGCTTGGGCGATGCGCCGATCGATGGCACGCCAAAAAACAAAGGGCTTTTCAAATAACGCCCCGCGAGCGTGCGTTAACAGGGAGAAAATTTGCGGAGGTTCGATTCGGCGCTGCTGCGGCAGTGATGCTATCTCCCGGCTTACCTGCAAATTATTCAGCAGGCCTCCACACGCGCCGCTCGTTCGTCGTCGTGGTTTCATCGCTGAGCTTTTTCAGTTTCTTTTTTTTTTTGCTTTGATTTTTTCGGTTCGTCTGGTTGTTTTCTACACACAGTGCGCACAACACATATTGACGCAAGCGGCGCGGGCAAACAAAAAAGGATCGGAGGCAGCCGGGGGGACGGGAAAACGAACGGAAAAACAGGGCGGTGCGGTGGACGGGTACGCGATGGTTGCGAGCGCGGCTACAGTACCTGTGGCCGTCGCGGCTGCTGGACAGGCTGGCGGTCTCGACGTTGCCGTCCAGGTCGAAGGTGGTCTCGTAGTTGTGGGTGGCCGACTCGCTGGCCGCCTGGCTGGCCCTGGTGGGGCTGCGCGGCCCCGCGGCCGACTTGCTCGGGCTCGAGGGCTTGGCGGGGCTGTGCGCGCCGTTCGGCGTGGTCGCGCCCATGCCCGAGCCCGGCCGGTACTTCTCCGAGTTGATCTCTTGCTGGCTGCTACTGTCCGGCGAGCGTCTACGGGTGCGCAGGGTGCACGCGGGTGGGGGTCGCAACAAAAAAGTAACGGCTCAGGTCGACGGGAGTCCAAAATAAAAGAAACAAGCACCGCGCCTCGATTTTCCATAGAGCTGCCGTGGAAGATTCGGGAGTCGCGGTGACTCTGCAAAGCGACTGGTGCTTCTCCATGGCGAGGCCGGGAAAATCGAGGCGGCGACGGAGAAGAGGACGAGTGAGCGAGCTGTCGGATGCAGTGGAGACAGTCGGCAGACGCGCAGGCATGCGGAAGGCAGCTTACCTGTCGTAGGCGTAGGTGTCGAGGGCGCGAGCGGAGTCGTGGCGCTGCCGCACGCGCTCCTCCGGCACCGGATCGATGAATCGGAAGGTGTGCATCCGGCCAAACTTGATGATCGCCCCGTTCTGCAATGGAAGCACAGCGCACATGGTTGAGTAACGCGCGGACTTTCCGCCGGCCGATGCAAGCTCGTACGCGCGAGCGCGGCCTGCGGGGGCAGCTGTGGTCACGAGTAAACGCGACCGGGCTCGCCGACCGGACGCCGGCGAGCGCCGAACAACGAGCACTCGCGCGGCGCGAGCCGTTCGTTAGCCAGGCGGGCGTCCCCGGCGCCGCGCTGCGCAATCGTCGGCGGCAGGAAGCGCCGGAGCACGCGAGAGGCGATCGCACCCAGCTACTACGGCCTCCGCGGAATTCGTCGCGCGTTGCTGCGGCGATCGGCCGCTCGAGTATCATATCCCGCCGCGCTCGCCTACCTCGGCGAACGAGCGCTCGTTCCGGTACGAGTGGGCCGTCGCTCGGCGCGAGATTCGTTTCAATTTGCATGCAATATCGATCGATTCGGTCGAAGCGCCGCAAGCTATAAGGATAACATGTCGAGCCAAGCGTTTGCCGTGGCTGGGGCACAATGCAGAGCGACAACAAAGGCCGGCGACGCGGCACGAAAAGGACGCCGAGCTCGCGGCCTACCTGGAGGATGGTGGTCTGTTGTATCCTGCTGTTGTTGACAAAGGTGTGCGCGTCCCTGGAGCAGGGCGTGAGCGTGACGATGTTCTCGGTGAAGGCGATGACGCAGTGGCGCGGCATAACGGTGGGCCCGGCGAGGGTGATGCACTGGGTCTGCAGGGCCTGCGGGCCCACGGGCCGTTCGCTGCCCACCTCGGTGACGTTGGGCTGCAGCCGGTGACGCACGCCCGCGCCGCTGCTCACCTCGCTGCCGTCCGGGTTGAGCTCCAGCAGGAACGGCAGCCGCTCGTCCTCGTACCTGTGCTCCAGCTCGTTCCACTTGCCCGCCGGCTTTTTCTTGCGTTTGCGCGGCACGTAGTCCGCCGGTCTGCGACGCACGTGAAACATGATGGATCCTGCGAACAAGTAGCAGCGCCGACGTCAGCGCGACTCGGTGGCGAGCTCTCGGGCACTCGTGGGCGCCGCGGCCGGCCTGCATCGGAGAGCCGAGCCAGGCGCGCTCACGGCGGCGACTATGCGAGCAACCCGCGCTCCGCGGCTCGCCGCTAGAGATGGCCTGGCCGAGATACGCGCTCCCGCGGCAGCCAGGCGCGAGGGGCCCAGCCGCGGCTAGCGCGCACCGCCTCGGCAGAACAAAGCCGCGAGCGAGCAAGGCGAGCGTGACGAGGCGCGGCGAGGGGCCCTCGGCGGCTTTCTCACGCGTCTGCCGTTCCTTGCCGCCTTGCCGCCTTCCGCCCACGATTCCTCTTCCTCTCCTTCCATTTTTCGCCGCTCGGGGACCGGCGCCGCGCGCGCCCGGTCGCTCCGCTTTCGTCGCTGCCGCGTTGGCGGGCCGACGCTCGGCAAGACGCGCAAGCTCCCAAGCAGAAAGTAGAAGCGCCGGATACACAGTAGGGCGCGCTCGGTCCGCCGGTCGCGACTTCTTCGCGCGCGCGCCGTTGCCGAAAGCCAGCGCTCCGCTCGGTCGCGCATTCGACCGCTGCTCGCGGCGCGGAAAGCCGGCCGGCCGCTGCGCTCAATGGCTTGGATACACACCCTTTACATCGCTCGCGCGTATCTGCGATTCCAGCGTCGATTGATCGCGTCGTCGGCGCGAGAGCCAGGCCGCCAAGGGGCCCCCGGCGGACGAGTTCCTTCGGAGCGAGCGCAATAGCGGCGAATAATAGACGCGCGGAGCTGCCAGTCATCCGCGCCGCGTGGAAAATTCAGGGGCGCGAAAGCGCGGTGCAAAAATAGAGGATTTCCCCTGGGCATCGATCGCCGCAACGAGAAAGGAGTGCCCACGGAAGCGCTCATTAATTACGTAGAAGCAGCTCTCGACCGGCGGCGCGCTTCCTTCTGCCGCCGCCGCCGCCGCCGCCGCCGCCGCCGCCGCCGCCGCCGCCGCCGCCGCCGATTAGGCATTAAGGTTTCACGCGGACGACCTATATTCGTGCGGCGCTGCAGCCATGCGTCAGCCCTGGCTGCGTACGCCGCGGAGATATTAATTTCGTCTGGGGCCGATCCGAGTATCGATCGAGTCGCAACCGCTGGCTTATTAACGTCACGCGGCCAGTTTCCCGGCTGCGGCAACTGCCGATAACACGCGCAGTCCAGCGTTTGTGCATCTCGCGCGTCGGCGGCCAAACTCGATGAAATTCGCCATGGGCGGGATAACCGGCAATGAGTCGGCCCGAGCGCCGATGTTCGCCAAAGGCCACTCATCGTTCTCGAGTGTCTCGGCGCGCAAGTGGACGGGCCGGCAACGCTCTGCCCGACCCGCGCCAATTTGGAAAAACTTTTACGGTTCGGCACAACGAGAACGGGAAAGAGAAGCGCGAGAGGAAGCTTCGTGAATCGACCCGAGGAAACAAATGCTTTGCTCGGCTGCCGTGCCATTAGTGCTGCAGCGACGCACGAGCGGGCAAAGGGCTTTCTCGACGTCGAAAAATTTGGCGCGCTCGTGCGATCGTCGATTGCACGCTTTATTGGCTTTCTCGACGAGCGTGTCGCGGAACGGAGCCAGCGGAGCGACGAAAATAGGCCGTTATCGGGCTTGCTTGCAACTCACCGAGCATGATCTCGGCCTTGCCGGCGCGCCTCGGCTTGAACGACCACAGCCCGATCATCGCTGCGATCTCGGCTGCTCAGCTCGCTCGGACGACCAGTGCGTCTCCTCGAGTGCCGATGCCCAATCACATCGCGCCAGTCGCGCCGATCCGTCCGGGGCACGAGGCCGACGGCCCGGCAATCTCCGGCCGGGCCAGGCCGATACGCGCGACGACGCAATTTCCGCGCGTGGACGATCCGCTTTATTTCTCGGGCGATGGCCTACCACCTGCGGCCAGAACGACGGAGCGAACAGCGAACGAATGCCGCGTGCGGCGGATCGGCATCGGAGAGAGCGGATCGACGGCAGCGCGCCGGAGAGAGAGAGAGAGAGACGAGGCTCGCTGCTGTCCGAGCGGGAGCTTGATCAAAACTAGTGGCAGGCGCAGGTTCGCTGGTCCGTCATGCCTGCGGCCGTGGCGCACACAAACGCGCCCGCTATCCGCTCGATAAACATGTATAAAAATGTCTCGCAAAAGAGTGGTAGGCGCCTGGCTCGGGGCGCAGGCGCCTAACGATAATTGGCCGCGAATCGACTGTATTTGTTTGACGTGCCCGTCCATCTTTTTGACGCGCGCGCGCTGCCTCGGTGGGGACGACTCCTCCGCTTCCATCGATCTCCGGCGAGGAAGCGCGGGAAAAGGTGCCCCTCGACGCGTTCGTCGATGCGAGCCTCCGATATCGCGCGTCGCGGGCTGCCCCGTCGCGCTTCCGCATAATTCGCTCGAGCGTCCGCGCCGCGCCCCCTTGCCCATCTGCAAGTATAATGTCGCGAGCCGCGAACGAAGATGCGCCCCGCCGCGTAGCGCCCGTAGCGAGGCATCGGCTGCGCGCGTGCGCGCGGCGCGGCGCCCGCGGCCGCGGCGAAAGCGGGTTCGGGAGCGGGGACGACCCAGATACGCGGCCAGGAAAAGCGTCGCAGGGGCCGAGACGAGGCAGAGAAGAAAGCTCGAGCGCGCGATAGGCGACCGAGCCGGCGAAGCGTGCATTCCGGCGACGAGAGCGGGCCGGGCGGCAGCTAATTCCCGGGGCGGACAACGGGCGCTCGCAGTCCGGCCCGATTTGGCGCGCGGCTGCTGCTTCGCCTCGCCTCCAAGAGGCCTTTGTTCGGCGAGCGCGCGCGCGTCGCCCCGGGGCCCCGGCACCTCCGAGCCGCTCGTCGTCGGCCGACTGGGCGCAGCGCCGCGCGTCAGGCACGCGCCGAGGGGCAACCTCGGCGCCGAGACCGGGCCGACGCGCGCGGCTACCACGGTGCGTCGCCCTTTGAACCTGCCCTTGGCCCGCCACTCGATCGGCTGCACGCGCGCTAGCGAGACGCCACCAGCCAGAGCAGGGCCCGTCGGCGGCGTCGGTAAGTAACCGACTTGGGGATACGTAGGTGCACGAGGAGGCTCTATTGACGAGCTCGCGCGACGTGCGTCGCGAGTGGGTCGCGACCGAATACCGCGCGAGGTGCACGTCCGGTTCTCGTCGGCGAATCGATAGCCGACCTCGGCTGCGGGCTGCGCTCTACACTCCATCGACGTGTGGCGCGCCGTTCGTCGTCGGCCGCCAGCGCCAAGGCCGTCGATGCGTCGTACCCGTGCCCCGCCGCCGCCGCCGCTTCGCAGCTGAGTTCGAAACTGCCGGCCGCGAGATCGTTGGACCGCCGACGGGCCGGGCGCGCAGGCGCTCGATCGGCAACGAGCGAGCAAGCGGCGCACGGCCGGACAGCGGTGCGCGCGGGCCGCGGTTATCAGAGCGCGATACAAAGGAGTCGTTGTCGTCTAATGGCAGGATGCCTCGGCTTTACGACTTCCGGCATGGCGCGACCCGCGACACGCGTCCGCCTGACTTGATCTGCGCGTGCACGGATAGCCCGATCGATTTGCCGATTGGCTGCACGCTGTTGCGTGCTCCGCGCGCACCTCTCCCAGTCCCGTACGACGTCGGCGGCTTCGCAAAGTCGGCTGACCACCCTCTTACTCGTGCTTTGTGCGTCTCGTCCTTTCTCGATTGCCACGAAAATCCACTCGAGATCCCCCTTCCACTCGGCACTTCGGTCGCGAGTAGGCTTTTAAGAACTTGTTATCTCGAGACGACGAGGCTCCTCTCGCTCCACGGATGACTAATACCCAAGAGCTTTCTCGCTGGCGCGCGACGGTCGACGCAATTGCCACGTTCGAGCGGCGCTTTGATCAATCGCGATTGCCTCCAGCCCACGTCTGTCCCGGTCTCTCTGTTTACGCATCGAATGGAATCGTAAATCAGCAGCACGCGCTGGAAGCGTAATTTTTCGCGAGCAACGAGCTGCAGCAGCGTCGACGCGACGTACACCAGAAACAGCTGTTTACCCGAATGTAGGTCGTGCAAACCGCCGTTTGCACTCGGGCGCGGGCGCACGACGTTCACAACACACGAACACACATGCAGAGACTGAATGATGTAAATAGTGAGAGGCTGGCGAATGAAGAGTTTATTTACAATGACGTGACGACGAGCTTGCACGTATGCATGAGAGGGACTAATGAGATGCGACCAAGTATGACGCGAATTACACAATCTTACGTCTTATGCCCCAATCCATCATGGTCGCGATTCGGTCGCGCTGCCTCGGTTGGCGGCGCTGAGGCAGATGAAAGACTTAAATGGTCCACTTGAGGCGGCTGCTGCTGCTGCTGCTGCTGCTTCTGCTGCTGCGGCTGCTGCTTCTGATCGACGTGGCGAGGCGCGGGGCGAGTGAACGCGGCCGCCGCGCGATCGGGAGAGCGCACGTGTCTCACCGCGTACCCTAATTATCTAAAGGTCGGTTGCTGCTGCTTGGTCCGCTAATTTGCTCGTAGTCTTGGTGCAGGTCGTTGAGCCGACTGAAGGAACTATGCTTAACGTACGTACATATCTAAATAACGCGATATTGGTCCTGGTTCGTTGCTGGCGACTCGGCTAGGCTCCGCCGTCGCCGTCGAGGATAAATCAATTGGGCTCGGCGGTCGCAGCGGCCAATTCCAGCTCGGCCCTCGTGCCTGGGCTGCCGGCACTTTTACGATGCCATTTGGCGCCGTTCGTCTCCATTAATCCGGCGATCGATAGCCGCGCTCCCGTGCTGGCCGACAACGCAGGCGAGAGGCGCGCGTCGAGGAAGCGAGCGAGCGAGCGCTCGTCCCGACGAGCCTCTGCCGACTAGCAGCCGCGGCCGTGCCCCGCTCGCGCTCGCGACACTCACCGCGCAGCCCCGACGGCGCCGGCCAATCGCGAGCCGCGACTTCCCCTGTCGCCGGCCAGCGCCAAGGTTAAGGGCCAGCGCTCGCTCCGTGCGCGCGCCCACCCCTCCGCGCCCGAGGTCGCGGCCGCGGCGGCCCACGGCCCGCGACGCTTACGGGAGACGCGGCCGAGGATCCCGAGCGAGCAAATGCCGCCGGCGCCGACGGTCCTTCGTTAAAAGTTTTCTCGGCAAAGACAGCGGAGCCGGGCTCCGCGAGCAAATTGAAAAACTCCGCGTACACAGCGCGAGGCGCGAGGCGCGAACGACCGTGCGGTAAGTCGAGCGTAACTCGGGCGAGTTTCAGCGCGGCGATCGAACGGGCCGTCGCAGTGGCTAGGGACGCGCGGAAATCGGCCGCGAGCTCCGTCCAAGACTCGTTTCAGCCGTGACGTGGCCATCGGGCGCCACCCCTCCCGGCCGTGATTGATAGACCATTGTCGCTGACCGCGCGCTGATAATTGATCGAGTGCTTCGCTCCACTAGCGCGTTCTGTCTCGCTGTTTCTGCCCACGGCTCCGGCGAAATAAGTCAATCAGCGGCGGCGGCGAGCGGCGGCGGGCGCCGGGGGAGGGGGAGACTTTGAATAATGGGCTCCGGCGGCCATTACGGGGCCGGCGTTTGAAGAGCCATTAGCGCGAGCGCCGAAGGATTCTTTAAACAGGAAAAAAAAACTCGCGAAATGAAATATCAGCGCGAGCGAATTGTGGGAGAGCTACCGCGCGCAGCGAGAACCGCGTTTGCCGCTGGGCTTTCATTCTTCCCGTCGACAAAGACGTCGACGGCGGCCTCGGCCCTCTGGCGATGGAATTACACGAGTGACGCGAGAACAGCGGGGGAGAGCGAGCGAGAAAATCGGGAGAAAACAGCCGCGAGCTAATCTGGCTGAAATCTTCTATAACTAAACACTGCATTTCCAACTTAAAACCGTTCTTCCGGGGAGCTGCGAGCCCGTCGGAAGTCAGCGCGAGGAACAGAGGTCCCGGCAGACAAAGTCGGCGAAAAAACTGTCAAGTCTATTCCAACTGCAGCCGCGAGCGCCGAGTTTAGCGCTCTATGCCAATTCGACGTGGGTACGCGTCGAGAGGCGGAAGTTGGATTAGCGGTGCTCTCTCTCTCTCTCTCTCTCTCTCTCCCTCTCTCGGCGATGCGTGCTCTGGAGCGAAATCGAGTGGCACCGATGCCACTCGAGACAGCTGCCGCGGAATCTCGAATAACGAGAGCGCGCCAACAGACGATACAACACGCCTGATCGACCCTCGACCCACATTCGGCCGCCAGGTTGCGCGAAATCAACCGATATACATAATACGGTCGGCGAGTAAGCGTTCCGACGATGCTTTATTTGCGGAAGCAGCGCAGAACAAGCGCGCAATTTCAGCCGTGAGAGATAAGCATCGGGGAGGGAAGGTTGTTTCGTTCTGGAGCGCACGGTGGGGCTCTTAACGGAATGGGGGAGGAGGGGGAACAATAAAAGCACGCTAACGCGGCGGTGTCCGTCGCTCTTCTTTCTCCGAGGCAAATGGATAGGCCTCTAATTGTGTTTACGACTGGGCGCCGAATGCGGCAGTTGAGAGCTCGCTCGCTCGGGACTTGCTCGTTCCCGTTGCTGGCGGCAGTCCCCCTACGCCCCCCCGGAGAGCCGCCGCGATTTTCAGCCGCGAGGCCCGGACTTTTCTCGTTTCTGCGCCGCTGCTGCTCGCACTGGACGACGGGACGGCGAAACGAGCGCAGTAGGGGCGTGCAGGGCGCGTCAAAGGCTCGGGAGAGAGCTAATCTCGGGCGGCCACCATGCCACCGACCAATTAATCTGGGCCAATTTGGGCGATAAAGAGACGGCGGTCTCTCCCGGCAAATGAAATTGCGCCAACTGGCCGCGTTTGTCGTTCTTTAATTGTCAAGCGGCGCATTAATTCCGAGCGGGCGGGTCGCTCGGCGTCCGCGCGCCAACGAGCTCGGGGCAGGGCTCTTATTAGGCAGCGGGCGCTCGGCTTCCCTGCAAATTCAAATTTTGTCACCGTGTAATTTGGGCGCTGCACCCGCCTGTCCACTACCTGCCTCTGTCGCGCAGGCGAGCCGACTGGCTCGTACACTTGGCGCGACTTATCGTTTGCCGACAGCGCCGCCCCGCTCGCTCTCGAGACACAACGAGCCGCGAGGCGACTCGTGCGCAAAGTGAACTTGATCCAATTGAGGCTCTTTATAGCCGAGCCGACGACGGCGATCGTGACGCCGAACGAGCGGCCCGAGAAAAATGTCACCTTTGTCGAGTCATTCGTGCGCCGACGAGAGACGCACGCACGAACGCAGGCGCGCTTTTTCAGCGTCGGAATCTGGGTCGTCGCCTATTCAATTCCGACTTGTAAATAAGCTGCCTTTTGTGCGCGCACCGCGCAGAGGAGGAACGTGTCATTACGCGCCTCGTCTCTCTAATCATCTAATTACATTGGCGCAGCTGCGGTCTCGAAATACACTGTCCGCACCTACGAATTTTCCGTTGGCTCGGCGCTGCGTTGCCCTCGCTCGATTCATGCGACCGACGCGCTCGAGGCGTACGCAGCGAGACGAAAAAAGAAAGCAGCCAATGATACGTGTACTTTGTGCGTGCGAATGATCGAGCGAGCGCGGAAGTGGCAAATGGTATCTGCGTGCGGACCCATGTGACTTCTCGTCGGCGGCCTCCCGTCCTGGCCGACGTTTTGCGCATTGATAAAAATGGCTTGTACGTGGGGGAGAGAAAAGTGACTCACCTCGTGTGGACGGATGGTTCATGAGTATGGCCAGGGGACACTCGTCATCGTCGAGTATGTACTCGTTTCCGCTTGCATTCTCCCCGTTGACCTGCGGACCAAACAAACGGCACAGTGCGCCCGTTTAAGAAAAACTTTCCTCTCGCCGCTGAAACGCGCCCGTCGACGTCGTCTCGCAGCGGGAGCGGAAATGGGGCTTGCATACGCACTGCGCTCGCGGTAAATTGTTTTGCAAAGGAGGATAGAAAATTGGCTCGGGGCGGCGGCGAACCGCGTTAATGTGTGTACGCGCGCACTGTTTGCCCGCTCTTGTGTCGTTCATTTACATTGGCGAGTGTGCAAATCAATTAACGAGTGGCGAAACGCTTTAATCGAATTCTCGCTCGTTTTTCCATGCCTCGCTCCTATTTAGCAGAAAGAGAGAGAGAGAGAATGAGCGAACAAAGCACCGAATCGTAGCTCTCCGGGCATTGTTCTCCGGCAAAATACGCGAACGCGAGCAAAAAAGCGATGAAAGAGGAGAAGACCGAAGAGGAAAAGTACCAAGAGAGCATTAGCGTCGGGCGAGCCTCGCTAATAATTACATCCCCATTGGTGAAGCGTCCAGTGCCGGGCTAATTCGAGAGCAGAGCCCGGTCGAAAAATCGGAGGGGGTGTGAGTTTCCGCGTTACCGACGGGCTTCCGGCAGTGCAGGGATCGGCCTTCGTGGCTGCCTCATCGAGCGTGACGCGGAGCGACGACGAGGGGCGCGCGCGCGTCGCCCTCGCCACCCGCATGCGCGCTCGGTTTCCCGCCACGGGCGTCGCGCGCCTTTTCGGCGCAGCCGGCATCGGCCGCCGGCTTATTAGCGCCGCGCGCTTTCTTATTCAACTGCTGCGAGTGCTCGGCGAGGCTCTCGCGCGACTTTGCCCGGTCCTCGCGGCGCCCAGCGCCATTTCCAAACTGTTCGTCTCGTGCGATCGGACGCAGTGCCGCCTCTCCTCTCCGCTTGCCTCCGGTTTCGTCTCCACGGCCGCCGCGAAACGCCCGGCTGGGCAAACAAAGACGCGTCGAGGCTTTGTATCATGAGCGCGAGCGCGCACTTCCCCGATGAGAGACGGGAAGAACACGGGCGGCGTGGCGCCGAGCCGACGAACAAAAGCTTTCGGCGGGGACGATAAGCGCGCGGCGCGGCTGGCGGGACTCACCTGGACGAGACAGTACTGCTGAGGGTCGGCCTTGTCGAGGCCGTACTTGTCGAGCATCTCGCGCACCACTTGCGCCGCCGTGTCGCGAATGCTGAGCAGCAGCGTCTTGTAGGGCACGTCCTTGCACAGCGCCTCGCCGTAGATCTTGAGCGTGCCGCCGGTGTCGGGGCCGCCGTCCTTGCTGCGGAACTGCTGCAGCTTGCGCTCGAGCTTCTGCTGGCGGCGCCGTCGCATGACCGCCTCGGGGTTGCTGATGCTGCGCGTGAAGCTCGTCTCCGGCAACTCTGCAACAGGCGCGCGCCGCTGTACTCTCCGCCGCGGCTGCCAAGTGCCGGGCCGACGTCGCCGGCGAGTCGACGGAGTCGCTCGGTCTTGGCGGCGAAACAAAGGAACCTCGAGCGGTGGCTAGCAAGGTAAGCTCTGCCGCGGATCCGCGGCCAAATCGATATTATATAGGTTAAGACGCTGTAAGACTGGCGCAAACTTCGCTCTTGGGCTGCTCGCAGTTGCGGGATCGCCGATTAGAGCGCTATCGATTCGCGCGCGCGCGCGCGCGAGCGAAAGAGCGAGAGAGCGAGAGAGAGAGACAGACAGACAGAGAGCCGGGCCGCATCCTGGCAACCGCGAGCGGGCTAATCAATGCCAAGCGGCGACGCTTCTCGTTGTCGCGCTCCTTGCGCGGACGCCGGCGCGGAGGCCGGCGCCGGGGCCTCGGCGAGATCGCGACAATTACCCGTGTAGAGCTTCTCGGCGACGCCGTTCTGGTCGAGCGGCGCCTGGCTCTCGTCCTGGCTCTCGGCGCTCTTCAACCGGCCGAGCTTCTCCTGCTTCTTCATCTGCTTCTTCTCGCGCTTGCTGAGCTTGCGCCGGAAGCTCGAGCCCTCGCTGAAGCCCACCCCCTGGGCGTTGGTCTTGTCGTCGATGCGTCGCAGCAGGAAGCGGCCCTCGCGGTCGTCGATGTGCCAGTTGAGCTGCACCAGCAGCGGCTTCTCCTCCAGGCCGAGCTTGCGCTCCTCTGCAACATTCGCGCGAGCGCGCTCTTTACTCGTTGCCACCGTTCGCCGGCCGTCAGCGGCGGCCCTGCCAAAAGCCCGAAAGCCACTCGGCGCGCCGACATTAAACCCGCTCGAGAGCGCTGATCGGCTTTCGCGACGTGGCAGAGCGCGGCCGCGTATTTTCGATTGAAACGCCGGCGGCTGTGCTGCCTGCCCATGCCACGCGCGCACAATACGTCAGGGGGAGAGCCGGTCGATTTTGCCGGGCGCAAAACCGAGCCGCCCCGTGGCAGTGCCTTGCGCCGCGGACACTCACCTCCGTTCTCGTGGATCTCGTAGAGCGCGTACTCGGGCACGGACAGCATGCGCATGTCCGGGCGGAACTTCTCGATGAGGGTCTCGATGACCGCCTGGGTGGTGGCATCGCTGGCCACGCGGATACACTTGGTCGCCACCTTCTGGCCGCTGTCTTGGAAGTAGAAGCGCATCACGCCGTGAAACTCGAGATCCTGCAACAGCAATGCCGCCAGCGCGTAAGCACACTCCGCGGACAAAGCAGCCGCGAACTCGTCGCGCGCGCGCTGCTCCCTAGTCAAATTCCAATTCGGCTGTTTGCCGTCGAAACAATCTCCGCGGCCTCGCCGAGCCACACCTCCGTGGCTTCGTTAAACCGCTCGTCGGCGGCTCTGCTCTTGCTTCCTTTGCCCGTCAACTTACCGGTACGTCCCTACATGCGCAAGCTCGACGAGCCGGCCTCTCCGACGGCTAACGAGTTGATAGCGTTAACGTCGACGTTTATAAAGTGGCTTGGCGAGCGACGTTCCTCGAGAGAAAGCGCGCCCGAGTTCGTCCGGGCCGGCTGAAAGAAATGCGTGAAAGGGCGCGGCCGGGATTCTAATGCGAGAGCTTAGATTAGTTGTAAAGACGGGCGCCGAGTTTCTTGCCTATTTTCTCTTTAAAGCTCCTCCGTCTTAGTCAAAGAAGCCTCTTCCGGAGCGTTGGCTCGACGTTTTAAGAGATTAAATATCGGAAAGACCGACCGATATTTCATAATGCGTCGACGGCGCTGGCTTGCAGTGTTTTTTCTCGCAAGCTCCGCCGTGTACAGGAGGTGCAGATGTGCGGAGACTGAAAGCTCGCTCCAGTTCGGGGACGATCGAAGCTTACCTCGTTGGGCTCGGAGAGCTCGAAGAGATCCAGCCGGTTGGCGTTCCACTGTTGAATGACGCCTCGCAGGGCCTCGCGCTCCGCCTTCTTGCTCGCTGCTTCCGCAGCCATTCTGCAACCAGAGAAAGAGAGCAAGGATGTACGCCCTTGTCACTCGATAATTGCTCCGATGCGCGCTGACACGCGTCGTCGAGGCCTTAAGAGCTGCTGCTCGAGGGAAACGACGACGCAGCCGGCTGAGCGCGAAAAGGGTCACGATGGGCCTCGCTCTCGGTATTTAGCAGGGCACTAATTAATTTTAACGCCAACGCACGCGCAGTTGCGCTCGTTCTCTTCGCGTTACTCCCCGTGCCCTTCGAGCAAATGGGTGTCGAGCTGATAACGGTTGCCGCACGTGCGACGTCTCTCGCACGCGCTCTTGGCGTCTGGGCCGCGAGGCCGCCACCGCAGCATTCTTAAAAACGCATCGAGCCGGCCTACGCGTCACCAGCGCGATCCCACTGGCACCGCCTCTCCCATTAGCCAAATCAATTTTCCTCTGGTTCAATCGTCGGCAAACAATTCCGTCCGATTCGCCGACCGCATTAAAATTTTATTAATTAGCATAATGCACGGACTAGGGCGCTCTGTGTGCTCAGCGCCCACCGCCGAGTACTTTCATTTGCTCGTCGCTGCGGATGAACCATTAGAATTACTGCAGATCTGCGCGCTAGGTAAGTGCGCACTTTCGTGGAGTCGCGCGTGACCGTATACGACGCGGTGCGCATTCCGCGTAGCCACTGAATATTACAAATAATGCGGACGGGAAATTGCCAAAGTCCATTTGACAAACGGCGGAGTAAGTCGCCCGTGGAACAACTACTCCGAAGCGGCCACTGAATTTTACGAGCAGCGAGCTCGCTTGCGGTACTTGGGCCACCACCATATATCGGGCAGAGCGCAGCAAGGTGAGCTGGAAACGCAAAGCGAACGCCTGACGGCTCGGTGCATTATTAGGGGGCATTATCAAGAGGCTGTCCGAGCTCCCCTGCGACGACGCAAAAAAAGAAGCCTGGGCTGAATATTGCGAGCCCGACGAAACGACGAAAGAACGAGAGGGAGAAACGACTCTCGGTCGTCCGAAGGGATGGAGCCGATCGGGTCGCCGGCTCACGTACGCGCGGCAGCGAGTCGGCTAATCGAATCGAGGAGAAAAATCGGCGCGCTCCGGAAAGCCTTTCAAGGCGGGCGCCGTCCTCATTAGCACACAATGCCGGGGGAATGCGCGAGCAGGCGCGCGCGCCCGACGTGGGTGTCTAGCGCCGCGTCGACTTTCCGCGCGCAGCGAATCGAGATCGCTCGCGTCCAGCGGGAAATAAGGAGGAGGAAAGTCGGCCGTCGAGAGAGGAAATTGAAACGCCCGAGGCCGGCCGTCAGTCCGGCTGATTGGCAGGCGTGCGCGCGCGCGCGCCTTTGATTCATCGCCGCCACCCAGGCCCGAACCGCGAACGTGCATCATTTTCGCCGAGCAGGCCGATAAGCCCGGCGCGCTCTCGTTTGGCCTCCGAGCGGCGAGCGTGCGATAAGCGCGCCCGAGCCTCGCGGCTCGTGGACGCGCGGCTCGGCCTCCTTTGAATCTGGCGTACGGAGGCGCGCAGCGAGCGAAGGCGCGTCGGCGCCTGCACTGTCCGCCACCGGCGCGCGGCTCTGTAACGATCGCCGCCAAATGAAACTTTAGCAATTAGTAACTTCCGGCAAAACTCTCTCCGGATCCTCTAATGATATTTTTCCTGTCGATCGCAGCCCGATAATTAGAGAAGCCCCGACGGCAACGGGAAAAACGCGGCACCGGCAGAACGGCGGGCGGGGGGGGAAGCCTCATTCCGCGCGTGCTTTTTCAGTCGCGCCGGGAATGCGTTCGTCGAAAAGCACGTCGTCGCTCAGCCGCCGACATCTTTGCGACACGTATATTTACACGGTCGCGCGCATCGACGCCCGCGGAATGCTAATTAAGGCATTTTCATTAATTAGCTGGCGTTGCTCCCTCCGATTGTCGCCTATGCCGCTTGCCCCTTCCAGAAGCACCCTCGTTTCCACCGGCAGCTACCATTTCGATTCACGAGCAAAGAAAAGGACGCTCGATTTCGGTAAGCAACGGACACCGGCTCCCTGCGGGCGAAAAGGTGCGCGTAATTAATTCGTAAAATAATTCAGCGGAACAGCGCGATTAACGGAGAGACAGCGAAAAAGAGGAAGAGAAGGAGAGCAAAAGAGCTGGGAAGCTTATTTAAAGCGTCGGCGCTGCAGCGAGCGAAGAGGAGGATTAAATTTGTGAAAAACCTCTGGCTCTTTTTCCCAACGATATCCTAGTTTAACTCGTTGATTTGTTTTTCAATAACTCCCTCCTTGCTCGTGGCGCGTCAGCCTCCCTCCTCCCCACTCGGCGCGGGTACTTGTCGGCGAAACGAGCCTCCCTTCTTTTTTCCTTCCTTTTTCCGCGTGAGAAAAAGCCCGCTCGGCTCTTCCTTCTATCTAGCTCTCTCATTAAAACGAAAAAAGCGCACAGACGCATCCAACGTGCGTTAATTAAATTGAAGTTTGCGCCTGCGAGAAACGGCTTGTTCTCGGCGCGGTCCAGCGAGGCGAGGAGAGCTATTACGGCGCGCGGGTCGCGGAAAAAACGACGAAACACGAGAAAAGACGTTCGTTTCGACGAAGGTCCGAGAGCATTGCCGGAATCGCAGATCGGCCGCTCGCGCCTCCTAAGAAGCTAATCTGCGTGCTGTGCAGCCGGCACGAGCCTCCCGTCGACTTTCACGGGGTGCCCGTCGCTCCCCCGCCCCGATATTTGTAGGAGAGTGCGGTGCCTCGGAAGCACATTACGAAACATATGAATGCTCGAGAGAGCCTAATCGAAGCCGCGAAGGGGCGCAGTGGGAGAGAAATCGGGCCGCGAGCGAGTTCGCAGGTGGGCGGTGCGGGCGCCACTCGAAAAGCGAATTCCTGCGGGAATCTCGAAAGCGCGCACGCTCCACTCGACTCGAGTGGCTGCCTCGGCGACAGTGAGTCGAGCTTTTTTTATTTATCAGGATTTTCTCCGAGCTCTCTTGCGGCGCTGTCGTGGCTGGCAATCGTAAAAATGCCACTCTCAACGCCTTGGCTACGTTCGCCGGCGCCGAAGCCATCGTCGCAGGCTCTCCCACTTTCCCAGGGAGCTCGACGCCCATGGCGCGACCGTGCTTGCGAGAACCAACGACACCTCGCTCGCTGGCGCGTTAAGTGCGTCAAGTGCACGCTGGCCGCGTTACCGACCAATCGACTCGCGATACGGCGACTCATTCGCCGGTTGCGAACGGAGCGAAGCCAGTAGGCGCTGGCAGCCGCCGTCAGGGCCTATCGAGCGGACCGCAGGAGCCGCGACGCACGTTTGCCGAGGCCCGAGCGCTTCCGCGCGTGGACGCGCGCATCGGGAAGCGGGTAGCGACATGGGAGGAGACGTTGGGGGAGAAACAGCCAAATTGGCCGTGACTGGGCCGCGCAACGAGCGCGCGGCGGGGAGCAGGGGGGAAAAGTGCCCGCAGGCGAATCCCCGGAAGACGGGAGCGGCGCGGCACTGCGATGGACGTGCCTCGGGCGCCCTTTCCGCTAGCGAGGGGCACTACCCGCGACGCTGCGTGCAGCCGGGCCGAGCGGCAGGTACGCGGCACCATACTCACTCTTCGGGCACTGTCATGCCTGTCGCTGGGATTGCGGCGGAGAAGCCAGGGCTCCGAGCGCTCCCCCCTCAGAGCTATCCGGCGCGGGGCCGCGCCGCTCTCTCGGCCGACGAGCGCGTTGTCCAAGTCGCACCCACGGCGCACTCGCTCTACGACTACGAGCGGCCACGGCCACGGGGACCTTGACGCCTGTTGCTCGGGCGCGTCCTCGCACAGGTATGCGCGCCACGGGCGTGTGTGCACTACACGGCAGAGCGAGTGAGCGAGCGAGAGAGAAAGAGAGAGAGAGAGAGAGCGAGTGAGTCGGCACTCAGTGCTGCCAATACACCACACCCAGACACTGCGCGGCACTCGCGCGCGGAGTATAGCGCTCGGGGCCCGACGACGCGCAGCGATGCACTGCCGAGTCCGGCCGAACGTGTTCGGCGCGGCCGCGCCGCTGCTCGGAATGTGTGCCGCCGACCGAGGTGGGGAGCTCGCGCTGTCTGTCCGTGTGTGCGTACTCGCCTCAAGGATGAGGGGTCCGCTCTCTCTCTCTCTCTCTCTCTCTTTTTCTCTCTCTCGCGCGCGCGCTCTCCTATGAGCGATGTACAGGGTGGAGCGACGCTATTCAGTCGCGACTCGACCGACGCGACGTGCTCTTTATGAGATATGGGACCTGTCAGGACCCACGTTATATGGATTTTCAAGTTGCTCCTCTCCGTCACTACCGATTCTCCGAAACAAATTAGGCAACGCATTTGATGGCTTTTGCTTCTTTCCCTCATTTCCGACCAGTCCTGCGGCATTTTTATTCGGCGATTGCGCCGACCGACTTCGATGGCTCAAACCGGCTGACTTTTTGCCTTTGTCAACAAGTTGTTTTCGAGTCGGAGATGCCATATGTCGACGGTTTCGCAGACGCGAATCGAGAGGCAAGGAGCTCGGTGCAAATTGTCACACACAAGGTGTCGTCGTCTCGGTGCGATTTGATCTTGGATCTTGCACTTCCGGCGCATTAAAGCGGTGATTCGTAACGAGCGTAGAATTGGGAAAACCAAATGAAAACAAACCGGCGCGCACGGCTGATCTACAGGTGGCGCAACCGCTCGAGCTTTGAAGACGCCTCGAGGATCTTGCCTTAACCCTCGAAGCTCATTAAGCTGCGAGGCATTTTGCATAGCTGGCTCGCGAACGGAATCCAATATTGGTGAGAAACTGGGAAGGCGGCACGATAATCAGAAGTAAGAGGCGAATCCGCGGCGCCAACGCTATCTCGTTTCGTGGCTGCTCCGCTGGGCTTTTGCTCCGGGATCGCGATGGTGCGTTTACGAGGAGTCCAGGGCCGGATGAAACGGAGCGGCAGAGCACGTCAACGGCAAGCGTCGACCGTCAAAGGCAATTCGGTGAAATAGTGGTTTTCGGCGGAGCGAGGAAT